AATCTCAATATGCTTGGTGCGATTATGCTGGACCGGGTTGTGAGCAATGCTAATGATAGCCTTGTTATCACAGAACAACTATAGCGGAGCGGAGATTGTCATATGTAGTTATTGGAGCATGATTCGTAACCAGAGGGTTTCACAAATTTATAAGGATATTGACCGTATGAACTACAAGTAATACGTACTGCTTCTTGCTTTTACACGTGACCATGTTTACCCACACAAATAAGCAGTACCCTGAGGTATATCACGAATCTTGGACGGACTTGACACTATCTGCGTATGTGTAAACTGCAGTAGAACGAGAGGCGTGACGAGAAAAAAATAAACCTGAGCTCGGTGTGTCTTTTAAATAGTGAAAAATCAGGTGGACAACTTTAAGGTAGCGCTCATAAGGATCATGCATGAATTGACTATCCTAACTGCGTGACGTATGTCGAGGCATGTATGGGCGAGGCAGACGTGTTTACCTACAAGACGCTGATAGTGAGTCTTGTTTACGGGAACTGTATTGGGAACATCAAGAAGTTCTTCATTTGGATCCATCGGGATAACCAATGGTTTGCACAGAGAAGATTGTTCTTTGTCAAAAATCAATCAAATATTTCCGCTGATATAGACAAATACCCTGAGTTGAGCAAATTCCATTCCTAAGAAGTATCAGAGAGATCCCATGCTTTTATTTCAAAGGAAACAGTAAGAATGTCTTTCAAAGACTCTAAGACTGGTAGATCATTGCCTGTGAGAACAATATCTTTAACATAGACAATAATGATAACTACCTGACCGTTGGAGGAATGCAGGAAGAAGAGAGTGCAGTCTGATTGAGCCCAAGTGAATCCATGGCCTAGCTCCACCTTGGTAAATTTCTCAAACCATGCCCATAGTGATTGCTTCAATCCATAGAGAGATTTTCATAGTTTGCATACTTGCCTCTGGGAGGCAATGAAGTCAAAGCATGTGGAAAGAGCCATATAAATCTCCTCGATAATATCGCCATTCAGGAACACATTTTTGACATCAAGCGGGAATAAGGGCTAATCCAGATTCACTGCAAGAGATAAGTTGATACGAATGGTGTTTAATTTAGCAATTGGAGTAAATGTCTCTTCATAGTCAACTTCGTAAGTCTGTAAGTACTTTTTGGCTACCAACCGTGCCTTGTTGCGTTCAAAGGATTCATCATATTTTAATTTGATGCTAAAAATTCATCGGCAACCCACAACTTTCTAGTCCCTTAGAAGATCACCAATGTCCCAAGTATGGTTTCGTTGGAGGGCATTCATCTCCTCTATGACAAGCAACTTTCTAGGCTTGGTCCGGTAAGACAGTTTCAATAGTAGATGGAAGCTAATGATTGGTCAGAGCCATAATAAATGCTCTGTATGTTGGTCATAATTTGCGAAGAGAGACATAGTTTGCCATGAGATAGAGAGAGTCTGTTTGATTGCGTACCTTACTAGAGGAACTGATTTCCTCATTGGGAGTAGGAGCAGTGTTGGGGATGTCGTTTGGAGGGGATTCAAAGTTCATTAAGGGGTTAGCGAGCTCAATAGTAGGTGCATTAGAACGAGTGTGTCGAGTGTAGACACGGAGAGTGGGAGGATTTGCTGGTGTAACCAGAGGAATAGATGACTCCTTGGTGGTAGAAGAAGTGGGCGGAAACAAAGAAACAGAGGGTTCCTCGATGATAGGTGATGTGGGGGGAACATTCACAGGGGTAGAGTAAGGAATATGTCCAAGAACTCCAGCTCCCCCTCACTGGAGGCCAAGTTAGAAAAGTAGGGAATACTTTAAAAAAATGAGACATCAACACTCACATAAGCCTTATTTGTGGTAGGTTCATGACACCGATACCCCTTTTGAGTGGCAAAATATACGGGGAAAACACATTTTATGGAGTTGAGATCAAGTTTACTCCGAGTTGGGGTTGTGTTCTAAACAAATATTGTGCATCCGTAAATTTTGTGATCAAAGGTGGAGAAGACATGATTGTTAGGAAAAAACAATCTTAAGACGACTAAAAGGGTACGAAAGTAGTGGATTTTTGAGGGAACTCTATTGATGAGATAAATGGCGGTAAGAATGACATCATTCCAGAAACGCTTTGGCACATTAGAGTGAAACATAATGGAGCGAATAACGCCGAAGAGATGTCGGTTTTTTCTCTCGCCTATCTCATTTTGCTGAGGAGTGTCGATACACGAGCTATGATGGATGATACCCTTACCAAGAATTTTTCTAATATAGAGTTAAAAAATTCACGACCATTGTCAGTCCGAATGACTTGAATTGGGTCAAAATAAATGTGTGTAAATTTTTAAAGGTGACGACAGCTTCAGATTTATCTTTTAAAATTTAGACCCATGTCATTCGAATGTGGTCATCAATCAAAGCAAGAAACCATCATTTATTGGTATAACTAAGATTGTGAGAGGGTCCCCATTAGTCACTGTGAATAAGAGAGAAATGAGCGGAATGTGTATAATTGTGGGGGGTAAGAAATCTGATAATGTTTAGTTAGTTGACATGTTTCACATTTGAAATTAGAAGAATTTTTATTAATTAACATCAATAGATACAATTGTTTTAGATGCTGAAAATTAGGATGACTCAATCGACATGGTAACTACATAGTAGGACATTCATTGGACTGAGATAAACTGCAACTACTGGATGGAGTGTCGTCGTTCTCCTTGCTTTTTTGTTGAAATAAGTGGAGCCCGCCTATCCGCTTAGCAGTTGTTAAAACAACAGACCATTTACCAGCAATAGAACTCTAGGACCCGCCAGCAATTTTAACAGTATCATTCCTTAAGCTAGGATAGTATGTTGAGAAGAATTGAGAGCTTCCAGTCATGTGATCCGTTGCACTTGAATCAATGCTCCATGGATTAGAAGGGTCAAAAGAAGTGGGTGTCATAGGATTGATACCTTAACAAACGTGGGAGGTCGACTGGCTGGAAGAGAGTTGACTGGATCCAAATAACTTGATTAAGTGCTCCATTTGGCTCTTAAGAGAATTTGAAGATTCCAAATTGTTCTGGGTAGAGGTCGGCTGTACTGTGTTGAATTTAGAAGCTGCAGCGAAACCCTTGGTAGCGGAAGATTTGGTTGAAGGTTTAGATCCAAGTTTCTCGTGAAGTTTCCAACATTTATCACAAGTATGATTGGGTTTGTGACAGTAGTGAAAGTGGGGTGACCAGCTCGAGGTTGAGCATCATTCGAAACCATGGCGGATTCTTTGACAACTGGGGTGGACGTAGCAAGCACGACAAGTCTCCGACTTTCTTCGCGCCGAATCTCAGTGAAAGCAACGCCAGTAGAAGAAAAGGATCTCGACCAAGGATACCCCGAGATTTCATCAAGTTTTTTGTTAAGGCCTGCTAAACATTGGAACATGCGGTTAGTTTTGACAATTTTCTGGAAAAGAGATAGGTCTACCGGAGATTCCCAAGTGTAGTCATAATACATGTCACATTCCATCCATAATGAAACTAAATCATTGTAGTACCGGGTCACAGTCCTCTATCCTTGTTTTGCTTCACATATTTTCTTAGATACCTCATAGAGTTGGCTGAAATTCTTACATTTGAGTAGGTATCACAGACCGCCGTCCAGAGAGCACTAGCATAAGGAAGGAACATATATGATCTAAGAATAGAAGCCTTCATGGAGTTGATCAACCACGATATGACTATGAAATTCTCCACTTCCCATGCTACATCTGTTTGGTCAGTCTTTGGTGGTTCAAGAATCACACTAGTGAGATGACTGAATTTCCCCATTCTTTGATGAACAAGGATACAGATTGGGACCATTGGAGAAAGTTAATGCCATTTAATTTATGAGTTGTAATAAAAAAATTCATGTTGTTTTTCTGTCATCCTGTCTGCAGAGGAACGAAGGTTGGAATTGATCCTCTTGTGGAATTAAGAACATTTTCTGATGATGGCTCAGTGCTGGTGGAATCTACCGTGACTCTGATTGAGCCAAATGTGATGTTATGCTGTCGTGACATCGTACAGTTCTAGCTTCTTGGAGGAATTTTGCTAGTATATGAGTTGGAAAGCTGATTTGATTGGAATAGAAGCCACAAAACTCTACTACAATTTTTCTTCAACTCTTCAAACTTGCAACCTATAATTGATTAGATTTCTGTTACAGGAACAACAGGAAGAGCTGGATTTGCCTTTGATCTGCAGGAGATTGCTTCACGGGATGGAAGACAACTACACGAGATATTCATATTGCTAAGGTTCCACAGGTGGTATACGAGGGGGTGACAGATTTCTGTTTATGGAAGCGGCTCGGAGAAGAACTGACAAGGTAAGAATTATGAAATAGGTAGTATTTTTGCCATGCAGGAGAACCGACAGGGTAAAAATTACGAAATATGTAGGCGAAGGAACGGCTTTAGGGAAAAAATCAGAAATAAATCAGGTAGGGAAAAATTGCGGGAAGAGCCGACAGTTAGTGTTATATCCTTGGCTCAGATACCATGTTAGAATAGAATCCAAGATGTTTTCTTTTTTATGCAAGGAGGGGTATAAATAACCATTACACGATCTACTAGTAAGAAAATAAATAAAACAGAATAAAGAGAAAAATGAAAGTAAATAAGAGCAAATCAAAGCAATTAATATAGAATACTGAATGTTAATATTTTAATATTCTAATAATATCACATCAAAAATACTACTAGTTTAACTTTTAAAAATTGAATACACCTTCTCATGCATGTGTAAGGTGGCATATATGTAAAAATTGAAGTCTAGGTGTTAATATATGTAAATACATAACTATTGAGTGGTATGTATGTAAACCTACCAAAGTTTTTTGAGGCATTGGAGGGAGCTTTGTGCATTGATTATACTTTTTAACTATGCTAATGCAATTGTCTTGATAAACTTTTGCGTGTACAATTTACTCTTAGTAGGATTTTGTTAACTGAAAAATTTATTATATCAATACTCACCAGTGCATTAATTTTGCAGGTATGCTCGCCTTTTCCCGCAATTTCGACTTCTGGTATGCCGGATCATACAAGAATTTGGTAAGAAGAAGGATCAATTTTCTGCTAGGAGAACTTATAAGGCATTCAGCAAAGAATTGGACAGCGCTGATATGCATGTATGCCGAAGTTTAATTGATGTATATGGTCTTTGTGGTGCCTTTTTAAAGACGAGGCAAATGTTTGAGGTACTTTTCTCCGTTTACTATATATTTCTTTTTTAATTTTGCAAACCATGTCATACATGCTATTTCATTGGAGCATCCATTTTCTGCTGGTAAATCTTCTCATCAGTATGCTGTTAGGTATAGTCTGCTTCTATATTTTTGAATCCATTACTTCTGCTACTTAGGTTATTGGGAGAACTAGCTTCTAAGGGAACCTTCCATTAGGGTTGTACCATTTAGATAGGAAATGGACAAATTGGTTCTCATCTCTAGAAATATTTTCAATTTTGAATAATTCAAACTTCTCTATTTGTGCTTTGACGATCATGAGATACTTTGCCATTATCTCCTTCCAGGTTTCATACTTAGTTAACTTTTAACTACGAGTCAGAGCGCACCAGTAGATATTTTACATTTATTTCTTGAACAAACTTTTGTCCTACAATCAAATTCTCATGCTCAGCTTGATTATTAGTTATGCCAAAGTCAATTTGTATAGAATGATAATGAGAAAATCCGATCGGGCTCCAGAGTACGACTCCGAGTTCAGCCCCTCCACAACTAGTAGTTACATCAACATAGAGCGTCCACAACGACTCTTTATGTGTGTAGTAGTAGTGTCAAATCTAGCATGCGGGTTGGTTTTGGGTTTGACCCAAAATTGATTTGACCCGAATGTTAAGCGAGTCATAAAGTCAAACCCAAACGTGACCCACCTTCAATCTGCAAATCCAAACATAATCCGTATAGCTCGTTAACATAAGGCATAACAACTATTCAAGTTGATTTCCTGTCAAAATCGGCTCAATTTAGCTTCAATCTTAGTTCAATTTTGGGTTAGCAAATTGATTTTGAATCAATTTCATGTTAGTGGATTGGTTCAGGTCAACTTTAGGTTGGTGGGCTAACCCGAACCCTACTAAAAAAAATAAACCCGAACTGACACAAATTATTTGGGTCAACCTGAACATGGATTTTTGGAGTCGAATTCGGGTCGAGTTAGCTTGTTGGGTAAAATTTTGACACTCCTACTTGTTGGTCGTTAGGCTCGAGGAAGTCAGCTAGAAAATTTGTTACTACTTGTGGCTTGATTATCATTGAAGATGTACAAGGAGAGTTTGGCTTTGCTGAGTTTGGCCACCCATTTCAGAAGACAGCCTTAATGTTATAGTTTAGCAAGTAAAGATTTTAAGGGATGATCCATCCTCACTTGTATGGCATACCTCTGAAAATACTGGTGAAGCCTTTATACTTGAGTTTGCCACCTTTTAAATTTTTGTTGATATAGTACACTGAAAATTATTTCCATGCCTTTCTTGATGTGGTGTCGAACTGATTGCTTCTGCTCTGCCTTTAAGGTATAACGAGTTTTTGCCGAAATTTGGAATTTACAACTATGGTGGGGACGACAAGAAATTCTTAAGTTGCATGAAAGCCTCTTCACACTACTCTATCCAAGTGAAACATTTTACTCTTCTTATGACATCAAAGAAAATTATGCATTTGTCATCGGTTTTGGAAATAAAGTGACTTAAACACGCAATTTGACTGGTATTGTCTATAGTTCTCTAACATTGCAGGGCGACAACATGTCCCGAAATGCTTTCATTTTCTTTGAATTAGCTTTGATACCTTATAGAATAAGAAGATAGCCGAAAAAGTTCTGTCCTCACCCTAACTGTACATTTAAGCAGATTTATCTTCATATTATATTTTCTTGGTGTTTCAAAAATATCTTAAGGCTTTATATTTATTGTTCTAATAACTTAGTTTTAACTATGACATCATCAACTTAAATTTCAAAATTTTTCCCCTTTTTATTGTTTAAAAATGACATATATCATATGCTAATAATTAACACTAATATTTTTAAGACCAATGGGCATTACATTATAGCAATACACTATATTTGGTAATTACATGTTCTTTTCAACGTACGCCAGATGCAACTTGATTTGATGATAGCTAAATAAAATGTCCAGAAAACTCATGATCAAGTAGCCGGCTATAGAGTAGACATTGAGGGAACCACCGTGATCATGATCGGTTGATAACATGGTCTGAGCAAGAACTTCAAAATCAAAAGCATAATTGATAGTGAAATTTTAGGGGGCAAAAACAGAAAGGAAGATTTACATGCATACCACTTAATTTTTATGTATTTAGATATCTAACTCCTAAACTTCAATTTTTACATATATGCCACCTTACCTATGAATGGAAATGTGTATTTCACTTTTTGAAAGTTAAAATTGTGATATTTTTGATGTGATATGAAAGATTTGGGTGGTATAATTTTAAAAAGTAGAGTTTAGGTGTTAGATTTGTAAATACATAGGAATTGGGTGGTTTGTATGTAAATGATCCTTGAAGTTGTGATGTTATACATCTAATGATTTCACTTATTCGACATCTCTTATTTCCTTCAAATCTTTAATTTCTGATGTGCAGGGGTTGCTTGCGAGAAATATAATCCCAAATATATTCTTCTTCAACAGTCTCATGAATGTGAACTCCCATGATTTGAGCTACGCAATAAACGTCTACAACCATATGCAAGTACTGCGTTCTCCTCAATTTTCTGTCATGTCCTCTTCTTGAATGAATTTTGTCAGTATACGAGTGTTTGGAACCTGAATCAACCACGTTCTGAACCCTAAGGGTTTGTTTGTGATTAATTTTGTTTCTTATTTTTTGTTTTTGTTTTTGCTTTTATTTTAAAAATGGGGCATTTACATGCATACCACCCAATTCTTTCGTATTTACATATCTAATATCTAAACTTTGATTTTTACACTTAAACCACCCAAATATTTCACATCCCATAAAAAGTACCACTATTTAAACTTTTAACAAGTGAAATGCACATTTTCATATACAGGCATGGTGACATAAAAGTAAAAATTGAAGTTTAGGTGCTAGCTACGTAAATATGTAGGAATTGAGTGGCATGCTTGTAAAACTTCCTTTAAAAATATGTTTCTTTAGTTCATTTTTTGCCTGTTTTTATTTTTTATTTTAAAAAATAAATAAATTTATTGTTAAAACATTCAAAACGTCTAAAACTTATTTTGAGTGTTTTTAAAAACAACAAATTATGATATGGTATACCAAATAGGTTTAAAAAAATTCAAAACAAAAATCAAAAGTGATCCCACAATTTCACTATCGATTCTTTCAGACTTATTTTTAAAATATTCAAAATAGCTAAAATTTATTTTGAGTGTTTTTAAAAGCAACTAATTTTGTTATAGTATACAAAACATGTTTTAAAAAAATAAAAATCAAAATCAAAAGTGATCCCAAACAAGCTCTAGCCTTTAAGTTACCGTAAAAATTTTCGCTATGGATTCTTCTGTAAGAAAAACTTAGTTCTATTCTCTTTACCTAGCATGGCCTTTTTATGCATAAATTTAGGCTAACTAATTTACAGTATTCATCCAGATTTTGGGTGTCACAGCTGATATAACGTCATATAATATACTTCTGAAGGCATGTCATAATGCCAAAAGAGTTGATTTAGCAGAGAAGATCTATAAAGAAGCTAAGCAAGTAGCATCAGAGGGAGCCTTAAAATTGGACATTATTACATATAGTACCATGATGAAGGTTTGAATCAATGTCTAATTATTCATTTTAGTTTATATTTTGTCTTTTAGCCCCCTCTAATCGTTAGTGGTTGGCTATATTTTGTGATTCATTTCATTTTTGGGGCCTTTACATACATGGCACACAATTTTTATGTATTTACATATCTCATACCTAAACCTTCACATTTACACAAATAACATTTAAACTTTTCCTATCACATAAAAAATAGCACTATTATAATTTTTTAGAAATAACATGCATTTTTTCCTGCATAAGTTTAAAGCACCTTAGTGCTTGTATATAAGTATGAAAGTTTTGGTGTGAGATATGTAAATACATATAATTGTATCCTACGTATGTAAATTTCCCTTCATTTTTTCAGGTTTTTGCTGATACAAAAATGTTGGAAATGGCTTTTAAAATTAAAGATGAAATTATTATGGCTGGTATACGTGTAAATGTCGTTACTTGGTCAACATTAATCAGTGCATGTGCCAGTGCTACTCTTGTCGAAGAGGCTGTTATGATGTTTGAGGAAATGCTTGGGGCTGGTTGCGAACCAAATGCATATTGTTACAACAGTGTTCTTTATGCTTGTGTTGAATCATGCCAGTATGATCGGGCTTTTCGATTTTTCGATACTTGGAAAGAGACCGGATTTGAAGTTATCAATTTTGACCAGGGAAATAAACAAGGTTCGTCTACCAGTCCTTGCCTAATTTTGAGTATGTTTGTATGCTAATTGAGTAAAGTGCCAAAATAGTTCCCTGACTGTTTACATGGGGCCATTTTAGTCCCAGACTTCATAAAAATGTCAATTTAGTTCCCAAAATTTTTAAATTAGGGCTGAAATAGTTCTCTGTGGTGATTTTATAGCTCATATTAAAAAACTTGGGAAACTAAATTGACACTTTATAGATTTTGGGACTAAAATTACCCCCGACAAAAAGTTCAAGGACTTTTTTTAACACTTTTCTCAATGCTATTTCTATAACATGCAACATTTGATTAGTTGCAGTGATTGCTTTCAGACCAACGGTTGCTACTTTTAATATTTTAATGAAAGCCTGCGGAACGAATCATTTTCGTGCTAAAGCGTTGATCAGTGAAATGAATGTAATGGGCCTATCTCCTAACCACATAAGCTGGTCTGTTCTAATTGATATTTATGGAAGCGCTTATGATATGAAGGGAGTCATGAAGGTTGTTTTTTGCTCTTGTAATGTTACTTTATACCCATTCATGAATCTTGTTTTCATCTGAATATCACATGCTAGTCTTAATTGGTTATATAATATTTTGGAAGATATGCATACATATCAATCAATTACTATGCATGCACATGTATAACAGCTAAACTTTAATTTTTACATACATGCCACTTTCCCTATTCATAAAAAGGTGAATTACTCTTTTAAAAAGTTAAAATTGTGGTATTTTTGATGTGATATGAAAGATTTGGGTGTCATGAATATAAAAAGCAAATTTTATATGTTAGATAGTTTAATATATAAAAATGGAGTGGTATGTATGTGAATGCCCTTTTTTGGGCAAATTTTTTTTTTCTGCACTTGTTCTTTTCTAGTTCCTTTATAGCGCAGAATGTTGGGCTATATAAGAGAAGCATAAGACTAAGTTGTGTTGCTGAGATGAGAATGCTTAGGTGGATGAGTGACTTTACACTTAGAGACAAAATGTGAAACGAATATATACGTGAATGGGTAAATCTGAAAAGACATTTACACTTAGGTGGATGTTGTGGTGTAGCTCCAGTGACAAACAAGATTAAAGAAAGTCTTCTTAGATGATTTGGTCATATTAAACATTAACCATATGATGATTCAATTGGGAGAGTAGATGTTTTAGATTCCCATTTTATACAAAAGGTAGAGGTAAATCTGAAAAGACATGGGCATGCTATATAAAAATGGTCTTAACTTATTAGAATTAAATTAAAATATGACACTCAATTGGACAATGGAGAAAAAAGGATCCATATAGCCGACCCTACTTAGTGGGATAAAGGTTTGTTGTGTTGCTTTTTTCTACTCCTTGATGCTTCATGGGCCATTACAACCACATCTTTTTTGTGAAATCCCTCCTTGCATGTTTTGAACTAGTTATAATTTAGTCTATTTCTTCTGCGATTGCATTTAATTTTATAATTTTGGTTCTATATGTGTTTGTTTAGACTCTCTTTTAAATGTCTTCTTAGTGAACTTATCCTATAGCTCCCTAAAGTATCTATAACTTTTGTTTTCTTTTCTTAATAAAAGAAATGCAAAGAAAATAGGGAAATTTACATACATGCCACACTATTTTTATGTATATACATATCTAACACCTAAAGTTTGATATTTACATTTATAACACTTTGTGGATTTTTGGAGGAGAAAAAAGAATTATTCCTCTTCACTTTCATTTGAAACTATTACAAGATAAATAGAGGGACATGACTCCCACATTAGAAAAATCATAAATCAATCATAAAATCTCATGATAAAAAAAACAAGAATTATAACATACCAATAATACAAAGTTGTAGTAAAAGAAAATAATAAAAGATGCTAAAAATAAAACTTCCTAAATAATTTCAACACCCTCCCTCAAGTTGGAGCATAGTTATCTATTATGCCCAACTAGCTTATAAGGAGCTCAAAATTAGGCCTGAACAATCATTTGGTGAAGATATCCATTATTTGGAGCAATAAGGATGAATGACATGCAAATAGCTCCTCAATCAATTTTCTCTTTTATAAAGTGTCTGTCAATCTACGCTTGCTTTGTGCGATCATGTTGCATTGAATTCTCTGCAATGCTTATGACAGCTTTATTGTCACAGTATAAATTTATTGCATATCTATTAGAATCATGTCTCTTAAAAAATTCTCTTCAGCTATAACATCTCACATACTCTATTAGTCATTGCTTGAACTTTTGCTTCAACATTGCTTTTTACCACCACATTTTATTTCTTACTTCACCATGTAAACATGATTTTCCCAGACATAAGTGTAGTGTTCGGAAGTTGATCTCTCATCAACAACTTAGCTTGCCCAATCCGCATCAGTGTATGCCTCTATTTTCTGTTGTGTGATTTTTTGTAAGAGTAAACTCTTACTCGATGTACTTTAGGTATCTAAGAATCCTGTATACTATTTCAAAGAGTTTCTCAGAGGGAGAATGCATTAATTAATTTACCAAACTTATAATAAAGGCGATGTCTAAATGTGTATGCGATAAGTATATTAACTTTTCCACCAACTTTTGATATCAGACTGTATTTACTGGGTTACCTTTCTTTTCGTCTCCCAACTTTTGATTGGGATCAATTGAAGTTTCTGCAGGCCTAGAATCACTCATTATAGTTTTCTTTAGGAGGACAAGAACATACATCCTTTGGGATACAATAATCCATTTTTTTGATCTTTCAACCTCTATGTTAAGGAAATGCCTTAAAGATCCAAAGTTCTTTTTCTCAAAAACTGATAAGAGGGAAGTCTTCAATTGGATAATTTCATCTACGTCATCTCCGATGAGAATTATATCGTCTACAGATACGATCAATATGATTATCTTCCCATTCTTTGAATGCCTAATGAACATTGTATGATTTCATTGTCTTTGAGCATACCCTTGACCTTTAAGAATTATTATAACATATCAAACCATGCTCTCGATGACTGTTTCAACTCGTGCAAGAATTTTGTTAGTTTACATATCTTTGTGCCAAACTTCTCATTAAATCCCAAAGATGCATCCATATACCCCATCATAGATTAAGAGAAAATCCCTCCTAGCTATTTCTTTTTACCCCATCATAGATGGTTGTTATTGAACTATACTTTTGGTTGGAAATTGAAACTATGTGATTTAATTCACATACGATCTTTACAATACTTAGTTTTTTTTAGCCTTCGGGTAAATCTATATTCTTGGCATACAATAATATAAATTATTATTTAGTTATGATGTCAATTTTGATAATACACTTTTAAATCACAAAATTATCAAGTTATTCATTTATATTTACCAATAGATTAGCAAATTCTATAATATTATATACATGTAGGTATGTAAGCATGTATGCATATTTGTGTAATTTTTTTATGAGAAATTTGCAAGCATACTACATAATTCTTATGTATTTCACATTAAAATTGCTATGACAGTTTGCGCTTTTGTATCCACTTTTAGAGATACATCTTGTTAGATTTAGCATTTCAAATGATATGTTAAACAACATGCTTGTACTCTTAGGTGAGTATTTCATTTTACAAATAGTGTTACAAATTATTTATTTATTTATTTATCGATATACATATAAAATCACATTAAAAATAAATAATATTGGTTGCATTAATTAAAACTCTTTAAATAACATTAATTCTCTTGCTCATTTTTTTAAATTTATAATAACAACGCCATGACTTATAGAAAATGAGATATTAAGAAAATGAGATTCTGATTGTTGAATAACAAATTGTTAATGAAGTTGATTGTTTTAATTTGAATGATAATAATATTAGTGCGAGAAATGAAGTTATTCATGAGATCGTTGACAATGATGAAAAAGATTCTAATCCTGAAAATCCAATTGAAAATAAAAATTCTTAAATTTGAGAGAAGTTTATAGAGATCACTCTTCCTGATGGTCAAAAGAAGTGAGAATTTTGTCATTGTAAAAAAAAAAACATGTTACAGAAAATGCCAGTGCAACTACAAAATTCAGCAAATATTTGGATCGATGTGCTCTTAAGATTCATGCAATAATAAAATAAAAAAAATTACAATTCTAACCCAAAGAAAATTGGGGTTCATTAGAAACAAGTCAAATGAGACTAAATTTGATAATTTTTAAGTATAGTTATTGAAAAGTACGATTGATGATAACACTTTATTTATTAATTAATGAAAAATAATTTTCAATTTTGAAGGAATTCAGATTCAATGTAGTGTTGAAATCTATATAGCCATTTTTTTTAAATATTTATTAATGACTGTTTGCACTGATGTTATGTCAGTATATGAGAAAAAGAAAAAAAAAACTGAAGAATGCATTGAAAAGTATTAATCGAATAAGCGTTACTATAAATTTGTGGAAATCGAACGATCAAAAGATATCATATACAGTTGTTACTGCACATTATGTTGATTCAAGTTGGAGATTGCAAAAGCGTGTTTTTAGATTTTTACATATACCTCATCCACATACAACTAAAATTATTGATGTTTTTTATAAATCACTTAGTGATCGAGGTCTTAAAAATAAAGTCATATTCTTAAAAATAAACTATATCAACAGATAATGTTTTAAGTAATGATCAAGCCATAAAGTTATTGAATGATAGCTTACAGGTTAGAAAGAAATATTCTTTGAAGAAAAGTTATTTCACGTGCGTTGTTGTGCACATATGTTGAATTTAATGGTGAAAGATGAGATTAAGTGTATAGAATATGTGGTTGAGAAAATTTGTGAAACTGTTAATTTTATGAATGCTTCAGAGGTAAGATTAAATTGCATATATTATTCAATAATTTCAGTTGTCCACTGGAAATTTATTATAGATTATCCAACCCGCTGAATTTCTATATGTAACATGTTAATTGTTATCATTTAGCTAAGAGAAGTTTTTTTTCATATAATGGAACAAAGACTACATATCACTATTGCCTTACAGAAGAAAAATGAATTAACATCGAAACTGTTTGTGATATTTTGGGATATTTTAATGAGTCTGCTAATATTATTTTTGACACAAAATATCCAACATCTAATTTAACCGGTGAATTCATCTCAGCCACTGTACATCTTGTTGGAAGTATTCTGAGTTATATTTTTGTTACTGTTTGCATGATTTACCCCTGATATTTCACCTCTTAATGTATCATGTACACCTTAAACTTCTAAATCAATATATAAAACATATTTCTCATATAACTCAAATGATAAACCAAACACATATGAAATATTTCGAATGTTCTTATCCCCTCCATAGATCATTGAGGAAATAAACTCAATAACAAGTTTCATTCTTGGGTCCATGCAACACCAAAAATCATCAAAAGATTACATTCATCTCAGTATTTATCAAACTTGTCTTTCATTCTTCTAGTCGTATCCATAATAAAATGATCTGAAGACCTTCATCTAACACTTTCTTTATCGAACAAATTTGAGAGAGAAATAAATTAGATGATTACTTTATGTCAGAAGTAATATTTGTAGCCTCAAACCCTAAAATATCACAAACCTTTTCATGTCAACCCATTCTTCTTCTATAGGGCAATTTTCATATCTAATCTCTTTACTGTATGAAAAAAAGTCTCTCTTAGTTGACTGACAATAATTAACATGTTATTTGTAGTAGTATTCCAACGGGTTGGATAATCGATAGTAAGCTTCTTGATGAACAATTACAATTGTTGAACAATATCTACAAATTTCATCAATCTTGCCTCTTAAACACTCATAAAACTAACAATTTCACGAATTTTCTCAACCTTATATTCTATTTTCTTAATCATATTCTTCACTATTAAATTCAATATATATCAACAATTTCAGTAGCTACATGTGGAGGAGGCAGATTTAAAAATCTACGAACACACTTTTATAATGTCTAATTTGAGTCAATATAATGTGCAATGACTATCATATATGATATTCTTTGATTTTTATAAATCTGTAGTTAAACTTGCTCTATTAATATTTTTTAGTGTATTCTTTAATTTTCTTTTATGTTTATTATATAATGCTATTACATCAGTGTGGGCAGTTATTCTTGAATATATCAAAAAAATATGACGACATAGATTTCAAAACTACATTGAATCTGAATTCCTTCACAATTGAAAGTTATTTTTCATTAATCAGTATCTAAAGTGATATCTTCTCTCGTACTTTTGAACGTCATACTTAAATGTTGTCAGTTTAGCATCATTTGGACTTGTTTTTAATGAACTCTCATTATGACTGGGTTGGAATTATAATATATTTTTATTTTGTTATTGTATGAAACCTAAGTGCACATCGATCCAAATTTCTCCTGAATTGTGTAATTATAACTATATTTTATATAGCAAGTTTTTTCTTATAATGAGAAAATTTTCTTTTCTTTTGATGATCAAGAAGAGTAATTTTTATGAATTTTTCTTAAGCCTACGAAGTTTTCTTTCTTTTTTTTGTTTTAATTGGATTTTTAAGATTAGTATCTTCGTCATTGTTGTCAACATTCTCATAAATAACTTCATTTTTCTCGTATTATTTTCATTCAAATTAACACCATCAACTTTATTAACAATTTGCTTCCGACAATTGAGATCACGTTTTCAAGATTCAATATCTCATTTTTCATAAGTGACAACATTGTCATTCTAAATTAAAAAAAAACAAAACAAAAGAATCAATGATATTTGAAGAGTTCAATTAATGCAACTTATATTATTTATTTTTAATACAATATGTTTATTTTTAATATGATATGCTTGTGCCTCTTAAGCATTCATAAAACTAACAATTTCATGAAAAATGAGTGATCGATAGGGTATTCAGGCGATATACCTACAATGTTGCCATGCTTCCTATGCTAGAGATGAGAGATCGATTCATCCAAGAGACAAGAGAGGCTAGGGGTCGGACTGAGGTGCAAGACAAGCGATAAATTAGGTTTCGAAGGTGGGAGAAGGATACTTGCAGATTGCTGCTGGGAGTACTTAAGAAGGATAGGGCTGTCAAAATTTGGGTTTTATTTGTTCTTTGCATAATTGCACATCACAAGTGTTCCTAAATCCTACGGTAGTGATCGAACCGTGCATTTTGAGCTACTCGTTAAGCCAATGAGCCGAGTCGCCCAATACTCGAACTCTAGCTCAATAAGTCAACAAACTCTTATTTTGGCTCGAGTTTGAGTTTGAGGCTCGATAAGCCTGGCTTGTGAGCCTATAATTGAGTTGAGCTTTTGGCTCACGAGTTGGCTTGACTCACTTGCACCCCCAAGGTGAACCATTTGTGGATAGATTGAGCCTCATGGAACCTGCTGTTGATGAAAATGAGGTTTAGATCAAAGCGGAAAGGGTTGAGAAGGAATTTTTATTTCTAAAATAATTACAAAACTCATCTTGCTTATCTGATGGGCCATGTCAATTTTCACCAGCAGCCAAGAGACATTAACGATTGGGGCATTTACCCAATTCTTATATATTTGCAAATCTCACACCTAAATTTTAATTTTTACATTCATACCACTCAAATCTTTCATATCACATCAACATGAGCACCATGTTAATTTTTAAAGTGTGAAATACATCTTTTCATGCATAGGCACGGTGACGTGTGTAAAAAAGGAGTTCCCTAACTAGGTGTGAGATATGTAAAATACATAAGAATTAAAGTTTAGGTGTTTGATATGTAAATACATAGGAATTAAGTGGTATGTGTGTAATCTTTCTAATCACTCTCACTATAGCTTGAATTGTCATGAATTGAACATTCAAAAAGGAGTTCCCGTTGCAATTTCCATTTTATCCCATCGAGTAAACCGAAGAGAAGATAAGCTTTGAATAGGTGGGACACTGATTTTTTATATTTTTGCTGTTTCTTTTGTACTTTTGTAATTCTGAATGTTGCTTTGCGGGCTGTAGAGAAATGATATTTGCTGCTTGACAAACAAAACATGAACTATTATTATATGCATATTCTTATGTGATATAAAATATTTGAGTACCATGTGCATAAATATAAAAGCTTAGGTGTGAGATATGTAAAATACATAAGAATTGCTGCTATATATTAAAAGTGAAATATATCTTTTCCTGCCTATGCTTAATGCACCAAAGTGCTATATATGTAAATATATAAGAATTGTTTGCTATGTACGAAAATTTGCCTTTTTTTATGTGTTTAGAACTAAACTCATATACACATTAAATGATGCCATGGTGCGCCAACATGAACTTGACAAAAACAAAAGGTGTCTGAAATATAAAATATTTCATATCTTAGTGATCCTCAGATAACTTACCATCCAAAATAGAATTCTGTGCGAAGTTTTTTTGTGCTTCATGTGATGCAGGCACTAAAAGCCATGAGAGATACTGGGATTAAGCTTGATGTTGCTGCATATACAGTTGCCATCAAGGTTTGCATTCTGCTTGCTGAGGTTTGATGTATTTATGATTGCAGATATGCCTTCTTTAGCATGTTGTACTTTGAATTGTGGAAGATTATATACGTACCTCTCAATTCTTATATATTTACATATCTAACACCTAAACTTCAATTTTAATTACATGCCTCCTTACCTATGCATGAAAAGATGTATTTCACTTTTTAAAATTTAAAATGGTGGTATTTTTAATGTGATATAAAAGATTTGGATGGTGTAAATGTGAAAATTAAAATTTATTTGTAGATATGTAAATACATAAGAATTGGGTGTTATGTTTGCAAATGCCCCTTGAATTAAAATTGCATCTGGTTTATCTTACTTGATAGATGATGGGAATTAACTGCTAAATCTACAGTTAGGGAACATATGTTTTACGCTAAGTAATGGCATAATGAATCAATGAACTAAACGGCATATAGAAAAATGCTTAAATTTTCTCACTTTTTTTTTTTTTTTTTGAGATACATCAAGATTCATATTTAATTTCTTGCAGAAATTTGCTTAAACATGCAAAAGTTTAATGGTTTAGATTTAAGCTATGAATTTAGTTTGTCCAGTTGCTTGAAATTTTCAATGTGTCTTGGTGTCTTCACTATGCATGATTAGGATGGTAGTATCTCCTGTCTCGTAGAATAATTCATTAATTCAAAAGTATTGGTTTCATAAAACGAAGAGCGATCCTTATTGATTTTTGTTTGCCTAATTAATTTAATATTTGATTCTTTTATTCTTAATTAGACCGGTTTATTATCATAATCATTAGTTTTTTTGGATAACTAGCATAAGTAATTAAGCTAATTAGTTTTCTAAAATATAAGGTGGCCTATAGAGAGTCTAAAAGAACCATTTGTAATGCTAAAAATTCTGTTTCTAGTAATCTTTATAATATATTAGATACTAAAGAGGGTGAAAAATATATGTATAAACTAGCCGAACAAACAGAAATATAAAGTAAACATTTAACTTAAGTGTATTAAAGATGAAAATCAAAAAATAATTTTCCTAGAAAAAGATATTCAACATAGGTGGGTGAGCTATTTTAATAAACTTTTCAATAAAGTTTTTGAAAATAAGATCGATCTTAGTGATCTTAAAATTTTTAATAATAATAAAATATGTTAATTTTATTATCACATTAGCAAAGAAGAAGTGAGGAGGATTTAAAGAAAACCAAGGGTGGAAAATCAATAGGACCTGATGATATCCCAATTGATACTGAAGGAGAAAGCACAAACCACAAAAGAAATATAAATATTATTATTAAAACTAAAATCGATTACAATGACTCCTCAAAACATGAAATAAATGACAAACAAACACAACCTCGCCCTAGAGAAGATCGACGGTGTTGGGTGGTGGTTGGATAGTAGTACAGCGAGCTGGTGGGAGGCTGTGACCGCAGGAGCAGAGAGTGGAAGGTTGCGCGGTGGTACAGGAAGATAGGGATGAGATTTGGGGTTCCTGTCGGGAATGGAAGCAGTCACAATAGAATGGAAATGGGGTTGCAACAGGTTTTCGGTGGGAAGCAAGCAACAGGGAGTATGGAAAGGTAGGACGGGCCAGGCAGGGGAGATATGGCTTGGATAAATGGAGTTATGGGCTGAGGGGGAGGCTTGATGGGGTTTCTGGATAGGGGAGGACAACAAGCTTGAGGTTTCACGACCGTAAGGGTGCACAGGAAGGAACAGTGGGGTGGAAGGTATTGCGGGAAGGATGGAGCGGGGTTAGTGGCTAAGGAGAGTGAAATTCAGAGAAGATAAATCATCACCGGAGAATAGGGATACAGCCGGAGCAACACCTGAAACTGTGAAGACGATCATCACCTATGACGAGGGACAGTCGGAGCACCAACTCGATGTCGGATACAGGCCTCGAAGTAAAAATATCATGGCAAAAACTTGAATTCAAATATAAAAACAAGATCCTTAACCTAGAGACAAGAACTCCTAGTTATAAAAGACTTGACTCAACTTTAGGAAACATTAAAATAGGAAGGAATAATATCATATTTCAAAATTTAGGCAAATCTTTTAAAATAGGGAAGGGAATAAAATTAGATTTTAGATTTAATGCAAGAGTTTCAAAATTAGAAGGAGAATAAAATCATATTTTGCTTTTTATGAAATGTTATAGAATTTGGAAAGGTTTAGGGAGGCAATAAAGGAAAGAAAGAAAAAAGAAAGACAAGGAGGGGAGGAAAGGGAAGGAAAAGAAGCAAGAGGGGACCGGTAAGTCTAACTGGGCTGAACTTGCACCCGGTTGCCCCCCCCACCCCCCGCCTCGAGCCCCGCTTATGGGTTGGGGAAGCTTTGACCTCAACTATCGAAGCTTCTTCCTCCTCTTGGCACGCTGTTGAGTTCTCTGATACATCGTACAAGTAAACGTTATCGTTCCAAAGCACATTCTGATAGAAGAGATATCTGTCCACCTTTGGCATGATCTGATTTGGAACTGTACCTAGAAGAGTCTCCCTATGAATTAGGTATTGCGTCATCCCAGTTGTAACCTGCTTTTTCAATTCCTCATACTCGGCTGGGTGCAACTGATAGGCTAGTATGTGAGGAGAAATTCACTCTAGGTTGAAATTTGTGGCACGCTGTGCCACTCTCACTGACTCCCCCTCAGGAGAGACGTCTTCCCCGCAGATAGGACCTGGATGCCATTACAAAATTTTCATCTACATCAAACTCCTTGGGGCCATTATATAGTTGGGCTTCATCTCTCTCATTTGGACATCTGATGAGGTGTCCCATGCTGACCCGAAAGTAACCTTTGAATAACTCTATGTAATGTTCTCGACATGAAACACAATAACCTCGTTTCTGAAATACCGGAACACCCTCCATCGGGGCAACTTCGGAGGGGGTATACATCTAAAAAATCTGCATCTCAGATGGACCTGTATCTGATGTCGGCTCCTCAAACTCTTAACCTTTGTTGACATTCCTCTCACCGTATGCAAGATGCCATAATCTCATGCTCCGTTGGGCTGCCCATTACCTCAGAGTCACTACATTCTAGAGTAGTGACTGTTATTTCAGTTGGAATATCTATCTCATGGTCAACTGGTTTTGGTGGCGTCTCTTCCTCATTGGCTGAAAATAATCATTCTCCCTGAAGTCTGTACCTTCTTTCTGATTACCGTTTATCTCTTCAAGTGGCAATTATTACTCGTTTATGTCCTCACCGCCTTCAGTGTCTGTGGTGTCTTTTTCCAACTTTTCTATGACACCCTACCCAGTGAAGTAGATTACTCTCTGTGTGCTGCATTTTGCTTCTATATGCCAAAATCCGTGGCACTTGTAGCATTTTTTGGCCATGACAAACTTGCATATTGGTTTTGTTGGCTAGTAGTAAGGGGGTCGCTTGGTGTTGCTGTCTCTTAACTTCGAAAGCTAGGGTCTGCAACTTGTTTTTATAGTTTTTGTTAGTTTATGACACATAGAATTGGTTTCTTCATGAACATCCCAAATTTTGAAATCTAGAATTTTATTCATAAAAATAATTTTATTTGTGTCTTTTAGATAACCTCATCTAATTTTACGATGATGAATCCTAATATTTTTCATTTTACAACTCTTCATCTTAAAATCTAGAACTAATAATCGATGTTGAGTACTTAAATCCTCACATGGAATGACCTTATAATCCTTACATTCTCGACGATCTCTTCTTCTCATAAGAAAATAATTAATTTGTGTTTTATTAGATTTATTCTTATAAGTAATAATATGTACATCACTTTTCTTGAATAAAATATTAGCAATAATAAAATCATACGCTAAAGCAAAATCTAATATAGCTCTGCCTTCTTCATTAATCACTCTAAAACTGTAGCCACCATGAATATTTCTAAAATCTTCTACCACTCTACCAACATGTCTATTTAAATTTTCTCCAATAAAAAATCTTTATTCAAGAGGTATAATTCGTATTAAGTCTTCTAAGTCATTCCAGAATTTATTTTTAGAACCTATATTTAAACCTAGTTTAGGAGCATAAGCACTTATAATATTAAAAATCTTAGTGTCAACATTAATCTTAAAGACTATAATTTTATCTCCAACTCTATTAATTTTAACAACATTATCTTTTAAACTCTTATATATAATTACACCTACACAATTTCTAGTGCGACTCTTAGCTGAATACCAAAGTTTAAAACTTAAGTTATCAATTTTCTTATTCTTTTCTCCAACCTATTTTGTTTCTTGAACACATAAAATATTTATTATTCTATGAATCATAATATTAATTAGTTTCATTAATTTATCAGTGTGAGTACTTATATTCTAAGATATCGACGTTTAATGTGACCAACAGAGATATTTTGAGACAACGGATGTTATGAGCTACTAGAACATTAATTTGTTAACTGATTATAGAAGTTGGACAATCCATCAAAAGAGATAGATCATTGATAAAACCGCTCTGGTAGTAGTGGGTCAGAACATTCTGATTTGCATGGCAATTTATTTTTGGGAAATATGCATACATAGCACACACCTTTTATGTATTTACATATCTCACACCTAAATTTTCATATTTATATAGCTAGCATTTTGGTGCTTTAAACCGATGCATGAAAATGTGTTTTTCACTTTTAAAAAGTGATAATAGTGATTTTTTTTTATGTGATATTAAAGATTTGAATATTTGCATGTAAATATGAAAATTTAGGTGTGAGATCTGTAATCAGTTAAGAATTGTGTTATGTATGTAAATGCTCCTTTATTTTTTGATGCTGAATTATGAGTGCATCTGGTTGATTCTTTTATGATTTTCATTCTATATCTACATAATTTATTTATTAGTACTTGTAGGCATGCGCTCAGAATGGAAAACCAAGTTTGGCATTTTCTCTATTTGAAGAAATGAAGAGAGACAAATTGAAGCCCAATTTATGGGGAAACTCCATTATACGCCCCCCCCCCCCCCCCGCACCCTCGAGCTCGTACTGTTATTTTTATTTTTTTAAACTTTTTTTGAGCTCTAAGTGCATGGATTTATACTTGATTGTATGCATTTCTTATCATTAAAATTCTATGACTAGATGTATGAATGACTTTTAATTTGCATAACTGATTACATTTATTCAGCCCATCAAGTTGATAGTTTACATGCACTCTAGATGCATTCAACTTCATTCTTTAAATCATTTTGACCTTAAAAAGAAGGAAGATTTACATACATACCGCTCAATTCTTATGTATTTACATATCTAACACCTAAACTTCAATTTTTACAACATGGCACCTTTCCTATGCATGAAAAGGTGTATTTCACCTAAAAAGTCAAAATAGTGGTGCTTTTGGTGTGATATGAAAGATTTGGGTTGTATAAATGTAAAAAAGCAAAGTTTAGGTGTTGCATATGTAAATACATAAGGATTGTGTGATATGTTTTGAATGGCCTTAAAAAGAAAATCGTAAATTTTCTATAAAACAGATAACTGCATACTTATGGGTCAATTATATCTTAAAAGCACTTATGGGTAATTTTCAAAATTTGTATATTCAAAACAGGACCGAATTTTCTTTCTGCTAACTTATAGTAGTTCTGGTAATTGGCAACTCAGGTGACTTACAAAACTCTCTTAAGATCTCGTAGCCAATACGGTTCCCTGCGTGAAGTTCAGCAGTGCCTAGCTGTTTACCAAGACATGCGAAAAGCAGGGTATTCAACATCTAAATTAGAACTTCTATGAGCATTTTTATCTGTGTGATTTATTTTATTTTGCGTTCAATTCTTACGTATTTACATATCTAATACCTAAACTTCAACTTTAATATGTTTGTCATCTTATCAATGATATTTTTTATATAATATGAAAGATTTGGGTGATATAAATGTAAAAAGCAAAGATTAGGTGTTAGATATGTAAATACGTACGAATTGAGTGGTATGTATGTAAATGCCCCTTGATTTTGATGATGACATCTGCTATGTAAGTTTTGATTTACTAAAAAGTGCCTGGATGCTAAACTTGATGATGCTGTGTATTGTTAGATGGAAAGTTCTCAGCATTTTACTTGATCTGCATTATCAGAATATTTTAGAGGGGCATTTACATACATATCACACAGCTTTTATGTATTTAGATATCGAACACCTAAACTTTCATATCTACACCCATAACACTCAAATTCTTAACATCACATCGAAAATACCACTAAAATTAACTTTTTAAAAGTGAAACACACCTTTTCATGCATAGGTTTATGCCACTAAAGTGGTATAATTGTAAAAATCAAACATTTGGCGTTGGATATGTAAACTCATAAGAATTGTGTGGTGTGTATGTAAATTTCCCTATTTTAAACGCGTCTCTTACTTAAGCATTTTCAATTTCAGGTACAATTCCAATGATTACTATCTCAAAGAGTTGCTTGAGGAGTGGTGTGAAGGAATATTATGCAGCAACAGCCAAAAGAAAAACCTAAATAGCACTGACGAAAGATTCAGCTTAAATAATTCTAAGAAACTAAGCTGGCCACTTCTTGAAAGAATGGCAACATTTTTGCAAAAAGACACAGATGACTATCAGGCTATTGACATCAGAGGTCTCTCAAAGGTAATTTACGTGGTGCATGATAAAAGAAAGGAAGATTTACATACATACCGCTTAATTATACATTTACATATCTAACAGGTTAATTCCAATTTTTACATACATACCACTTTACCCATGTTGGAAAAGGTGTATTTCGCTTTTTATAAGTTCATATGGTGGCATCTTTTATGTGATATGAAAGATTTGGGTGGTATAAATGTAAAATATAAAGTTTAAGTGTTTGATATGTGAATACATAGGAACTGAGTGATATGTATGTAAATGCCTAAGGAAGGAATTTAATATTCTTTGAGACCAATAATTAGGAAACTATGTTTGGAGACAAGGTGTGATATAGCTCATGGCCAAGCAAGTTTGGTTAATAACTTGAAATTTGTCTCTCAAGGTAAAACGACAAATCATTCATATAGCCATATAGAAGTTTATCTGTTGAGGCGAAGGCATGAAATGAAAGTGTAACGAAAAAAACACAGCTTTGTGCTTTTACTCAATGACTCTGAGTCATTATATTTTTGCTTGGGGCACTGCACAAGATTTACATGCATACCACTCGATTCTTATGTATTTACATACTAACATCGAAACTTCAATTTTTACATACATACCACCTTACCTATGCATGAAAAGAGTATTTCACATTTTAAAAGTTGTAATGCCGGTATTTTTTATGTGATATGAAACATTTGGGTTGTATAAATGTAAAAAATAAACTTTAGGTGTTAGATATGCAAATTCATAGGTTTTGGGTTGTATGCATGTAAATTGCCCTTTATGTTTTAGTCTTTAAAAATTGTTGGTGCACTGGTTGATTTTTTTATTTAATTAATCCATATATATTTCTTCATTAGTTTATTAGATGAATGTATTTTCTCTTGGCAGGTTGAAGCTCGAATTGTTGTTCTTTCAGTTTTGAGGATGATTAAGGAAGACTACCAGCAAGGTGTGTAATTCTCTTTTCATGTGTATTTAAATTAGGGGCATTTACATACATACCACACAACTCTTATGTAATTAGATTTCTAACACCTAAACTTTGGTATTTACATTCATAACTCTTCAAATCTTTAATGTTGCATAAAAATCCCACTTCGCTATCTTTTCAAAATAAATGCACCTTTTTATGTCAGGTTCATACCACCAAGATGCTATAAATGTAAATATCAAACTTTTATGTAAATCCATAAGAATTGTGTGGTACATATGTAAATTTCCCTTTTAGGTTAATGAGGCAAATTTGTTGAATAATTTAATACCAACAAAGTTTGGCAAATTGTTTGATGGCTAGTATGTCTAATGTATTTTTTATCTCCAATTAAAATTGAGTTCACGACTTAAAATTTTATCAAGGCTTGGGGTGTTTGGTACGCAATTTAAATATGGATTTACATTAAATATAACTTAATAACACAGGTGCGGGAGTTTCCCGCACGAATATGGGAAACAAGCTAGCCGGCTAAACCGGTTGGCATAGGGAACTGGTTCAGGGAGGAATCGAGCGACATCGGCACTTGCGGCTTTCCTTTCGCATCTCCTGCCTGGCTTGAGCAATGTTTGGAGAGGGCTGCATTGTCGCTTGCCCTCCTCTCCTCTGTTTTCTATTTTTCCGGTGGGAATTTATTTATATTGTTGTTTTGTTGCATAAGAGTTAGTTTTTGTTGTGTGTTGATTTCAAATTTTCTTGTGGAGCTGTTCTCCCTATTCTAGGGCTATATCCGAGGAAGTGGTGGTGTTTCAGCTGTATTCTACTCCGAGGAGGTGTTGTATCATTTCCTTTTCACCTTCCCCAATCTTTCTCCCCTCTCCTCAGCTGCCAGTCTCCCCCTCCTTAATTCCTGCACCCAACTGTTCCATACCTGCAGCCTTACCTTGTTGTCCAGCCATCCTCTCTCCTTCCCAGCACTCCCAACCAATTTTTCCTCACCCTACTACCGCTGCCCCTGTTGCCCAGCAACTTCCAGCCACCCCTTCGCCTGCCGCCGGTCACTTACGACCCTCCATATTTGTCCTTGCAATTCTGCACCTTCCCCTCACTGCCATCACCCCTGTTAACCATCCCAATCCACCCAGCCGACCTCCACCGCCCTTGGAATACACGTTAGAGGTGTATTCTTGTGTCGTTTATGTTTTGTGTTACTATTTTCTTTTTTGTTGTGTTGTAACCCCCTCTCTACACTAATAAAAGTTTGTTTTGAGTTTTTCATTGCTTTTCCTACTAGTTCTGGTATCACTTAAATCTGCCAAACATAAAAAAATCGAAGTTAAATCCCACCGTTATCTAAATACGAAATTTTCTCTATTTTAATTGTATTCTTGGATTTATTAAATCCAATCATTAGGTGGATTGAACGGATTTAAGAGAGGGTGTGGGAGCTGTTGCTTCTCTCGTCTCCAAACACTTCAAAGTTTGGCTTTAAACTTAATCAAAACAAACCTTTTTTTTATTTAACCCTTTTGGATTTGGTAAATCCGGATTTACTAGATTAAATCCTATTTAAGTTAAATTTTGGGTGTAGCCAAACACCACCTTAGGGTGTTTGACTCAGGATACATTGTCATGTTGAAAGCTAAAATAGCAGATATTTGATGGATGTGGAGTTCTTGTTATTGAGTTTAATAAAGCCTCTTTTTAATCTTCGACGACGAACTAGCAACAAATGGTGTTATGTTGTGTTGACCGATTGATAGTAGGTTTAGCACTATGGGGTCTTCTTTGAGACCTAATCTCATCTTGCAAAAGTTGGTAGCAAGTTGGAACGGTCGTTGTTCTAAAGTTGTGGAACCTAATTTTATCTATGAATGCAAATTTAATCTTGGGTCAAAATTTATAGGAAGATTGACCTACATGCCTCTCAATTCATACTTATTTACATATCCAACACTTAAACTTCAACTTCTACATGCATGCCACATTATGTATATGTGAAACGTGTATTTCACTTTTTAAAACTTAAAATGTTGGTATATTTTGTTTGATATAAAAGATTTGAGTGGTAAAAATGTAAAAAGCAAAGTTTAGGTGTTGATGTGTAAATATATAGGAACTGGGTAGTACCTAATAAAATGATGCAAGTATATGACTGAAACAAAAGAAAAGGGGGGCAGTGGGTTGCTAAACTCCAAAATAGTACCTGAACTGTTTGTATGTGGCTAATTTGATATCCTAATGTCACATTTGTCCAATTTAGTACTGACTATACGTGATTGATCTAAAGTGGGAGCTCCCAGTAGGATTATTTTTGGGACTTATGGTGCAGTCCTGCGACCAATCTACAAACTAGACTAGGCGCAGAACTCTCCTAGTGGCTCGAGATCAGGTTAAAACACCAAATTGAGGGCTGGCCGTCTTTCCTTAATGGATTTGGTGTCTCCTTTCAAAAGTGGGCTCAATCCTAATTACCTAGGGCTTATATATTTGATTCATGTGTTTAGGGTTTCAGTTTTTGGCATATTTTCTGTCGGGACAGTCATTGGCATCCTCTTTCTCCCTTCTAGGGTTATATCCAATACCTTGTGGTGCTACGATTATAGTTCGTCTGAGGTGGTGATCTCTTTCTAAGGGCTTGAGTGCTGCTGCGAGTATCGCTTATTCCCGTGGTGTATTTATCTCCAACTCTTTCCTCTTCCGCATTTCTCTCTTCACAGACTCTGCCGTTCTCGACCCTCTTCTTGGGCTGCCATCGTTGTCCCTGCCGTCCACCTTTGTTGTCACTGCCCCGCCTATCTTTCTTGTTGCTGTTTCCCTCTGTCCGATCGCCCTCCGTTGCTGTTGCCAGACCCAAACAGCCTCCCGGTTGTTGCTTCTGCAGCTCCAATCACCGACGACGCCTTCCTCTCCCTCCTCTTCGCTGTTATCGCAGTTCCAGACCTCCACCTTTTGTTGCCGCCACTCAGAAATCCCTCACCTTGCTGTTCTGGTGCTGCCCGGCCCTCCTACATCGCTGCGGCAGCTCATAACACCACTTTCCTTGCTGCTTATCTACTGTCCAGCGCCTCCCCCTTGCTCCAACCTCCCAGGAAATTGCAATGTTTCACCACCCCTTTGCTGCCACCATCGCCGCTTTGCTGCTGCTCCACCATCTGGCCTTCCAACCGCCCTTTTGCCACACCTCCGGAGGTCCAAACCCTCGCTGATCAACACCCCACCTCGATATTCACCTTAGCCGAGTGTCATGAATCGTGTTGCTATTTCCTACTTCAGCGTGTCACGTGTCCTGTTTGTTATTTTTTCTCTTTTAAGTGTGATAGTTGTAACTGCCTATTTATTTTCATTAAGAAGATTTGTTTTTCTCGTGATTTTGGTTCTCCGATAACAGTTGGTATCAGAGTCATTCTAATCCTAGTCCTATCATAGGGTTTCTAGAATACCCCCCAAAATTTCTCTCTTCCCACCCACCCTCCACATCTCCTTCCACCTATCCAAACCCAAACTCTAATCATGCCATCGAGAGGGTAAGTGTCGAGTCCGATCAGGAGTTTACCATGGAAGAGATACAACAATAACTGCCCTGAGTGCTATAACGGCTCAATAGAATTAAGGAAAGGAGACCATCCAAATCGCTCAACCGCAGCCACAATGGTGACTTGATAAATCAAAGGAATTGAGTGAATCTCTTCCACCATAGGGATGTTAGGGATAAAGAACCTCTACCTTGAAGACGACCTAAAATATCTGAGAAGCCAAAATTTTGAAGTAAAGTTGGATTTGTCATACTTTTACGACCATATGAATTCGAAAGAGTTCATCAAGTGACTCTTGACCTTTGAATGTACTTTTGAGTGTCGAGACTTCCCACCGGACGGAAGGGTTAAACTAGCAGGCAACAAGTTAAAGAAAAGTGCAATATTCTAGTGAAAATTTTTTGAAGTGCTACTCGGTCCAGCGTGAAAGTAGATAAGATCACTACTTGGTCCAAGATGAATTAGAAGATGAAATTTCAGCACCTACCAGCTCACTACAGACTAGATGTTCAAACCTCATCTTCAAAATTGGAGAGACCACATCACTGGGCGACCACCACATATTGTAGGTAGGTTTTTTACAGCGTCAAGAGTACACTAAGGGGAACATCTAAGCCCCCACCCGACGAGAAACTGATTCAGAGTGGAGAATAGGTTAAACCAGTCCACATTCCCAAATCCATCATAGCTAAGAAGTGTTTCAAGTGTCACAAATTTTGGCATATTAATTCAGATTGCACAATCAGAAGAATAATCTCTTTCACATCGGGGAGCAGTTCAAGAAATGAACAAAGACGCATTAGACACTTAAGAGAGTGAGGACACAAAAGAGGAGAACCAGCTGCCAGCCAATGAGGAAGAGACGCCATCGATTCCAGTTGAACCCTGGAGAGAGATCCCAGCTGAGTTGACAGTAGTTGTTCTAGAATGTAGTGAGCCCAAGGTATGGGCATTCATGCAGAGTATGAGATTATGGTGCCTCAAATTATATTTTTGCAGGCATTCGGAGGAGCATCGGTAGGATTTGCATTGGATGTCCAAAAAGGCAATGAGTTTAAGGAGCAGTTACCAGACACAGGATAACCTCAGATAAGAGAATTTTAGAGTTTCTGGATACAAAAATTATCTTCCGACTTGACCCTACTATGGGAGTTCCAGCATGTCAAAGATGAGGCTCTTTTGTGACACTTTTGGAAGACTATGTAGAGTCAGCTGGATGTTAAAATTTGTTCAGCAGGGG